TCATCAAATGCCAAACACTTTAAATTATTTTTGGAATAAACACTATGGTGTTTTGAAAGTTTGAGTTAATATTGTTTTATATTTAAAAATCAAATATTTGGATCATATTATTATTTAAAAATAATAACATGGAAGAATTTTTCTTGTTTAGTTATTCTTTGAGTTAGTGATATTATTAATAATACACTGAATATGTAGAAATGTGAGAAAAATTCTCAACATTTATTGCAACTAAATTAGGTTTTCTAGAAAACAACGTTTTATTCAACTCAAAGATCTTTCTTGAGAATAGCAAGAAGAAGTAATATGGCAAGCAAATTAAATTTTTTTTTTGTCCAATTAGAGTTATATGCTGTTATCATGATATAAAATGTTTGCTTATCTGTTTTTATTTTTATTATTTCATTTAGAATTTATCTTGAGCAATTTTTTTGTCGTTTTTTTTTTTAAATTTAAATAAATCACCCATGCCAGTCTAAAAATGACCATGCCAACCCAAAAATGACTTTTTATGTGAGTTGGCATTAAATTTCAAACATTAAAGATATCTACTATAGCATACTGATAAATATCTACTATTGCATATATAAATAAATTGTTACTAGTTTTTCCTAATGTTATTGCACGCTGCGTTTTCAGAAAAAGAAGAAGAAAAAAAATGAAGAATAATGAAAGAAAAGATTGCTGCCATATGCAAAACCCTCAGTTGAACTCATGGCACTCCTTTGCAGCAGTAGGCTATAAGATAGTTGATGTATGTACTGAAGCCCTTGGTAGCAGGCTATTTCAGTGTGATGTCAGAGATATTATCTAAACACTCATTCGTAGTTCGTCATAGTAAATAACAACAAACGCATTCTGTGTTAAGTCAATTAAGTTTGTGTTTTTGCGGTAATTTAAAATTTTAGTAAACGAAAAACTGCCAAAAAAATACATTGTTCTAATAAATATTTATCATTCTTTATATATGTTTAAAATTACATTGATATTTCAATATTTAATTTTTGTAAACTGTTTTCTTATAAAAGTGTTTATATAGAAAATTATTTTAGTGCCAATAGAACTTGCTTATTTGTATTGACAGGTTTTCAATGTTGTTATCATAATAACTTTATGTTGACAGGTTTTCAATGTTGTTATCATAATAACTTTATGTTGACAGGTTTTCAATGTTGTTATCATAATAACTTTATGTTGACAGGTTTTCAATGTTGTTATCATAGTAACTTTATTATTACAGTTGTTATAGTATTATGATCTGTCGTTTTAACATGTTGGTGATTTTTATTATTTTTTATTTTTTTATTAGTGTGTTAAACAAAAATTAGAAAAGTTTTAAAAATGATCTAACATAATTTTAATTAGAAATATTAATTAGCACAGAGAAACTTAATATAATTTTTATTATATTTTAATTTTCAGTATCATCTTAAACAGCTAAAGGAACAGCAAGAATGAGCTAAAAATCTAATTAAACTAGATACTTTTTTAAGTTCAAAAACATCTTTTAGCTCCAACAATAATTCTGAGATATATAATTTGTCATATGAAATCAATTCAAATTAAATCAGAGAAAACAGTTGAGATGGAGGGTCAAGAATCGAACCAAAACAGAGAATCGAGCAAAACTGAGCCATCAACAACAAAGTCGCAGTCAACCTAACTGCTGACCTTAAAGTATTTGAGGTCGGCAAATATTGCAGACCTCCTTTCTATGTTTTATGGTAAGACCTTTGTATCAATTTTTTTTTGCCAATTATTGCCGACCTCATTTTTCCTAATTCTGAGGGTTGCTGATATAGAGTTTACAATTTAGTTTGCGTAATTTGAATTTGTGACCTCGAGTGTAAATATAGTTGTTTATTAAAAAGAACATGATATATGCAAACTTAATTAGCGCAAATAAACCAATGTTATTTTTCAGCATTAGAGACTTCACAAGCTTTTATTCCAACTTTTTAAAATGTTCTCAGTGCCAGGTATCCAGACTTGGACCCGGTATTTTCTGCTGTGTACCCGAAATCTAGGACTCGGCATAAACTGGTTCTGGCACATCTCTAATCTAGTCATAGAAAAACATAACAATTTAGTGGTAGTAGACAACTAAGAGAATTTTTTAAATTTTATTATTATTGATGTTGCTACAGGTTTGTAAAGTTTTCAAATTAAGAAACATATAAACAAATTTTGATTTTACAGGTCATAGATTGGAACAAAAAGTTGTGACTTCATTGAATGAAAATAAACTTCTACTATAAGAGGTCAGCCATACAACAATGGTGCCAATAGAAGAGGCAAAAACAAGGACTTACAAAAGAAAATTGTAGATAGAAATAAGCCTTTACAAGTTTTTTTCTGGTTCCCTAAAACTTTTAAGTATTTTGAATTGATGACTGAACTTGCGCTTTACCAACAATTATCCATGTTATAAAAGGATTTGAATATCCTTTTTTTTAAATTTCTCACATAAATTTGGAAAGCTCTGTTTTGCTCTTTTATTGGAATGAGTTTATGTGTTTCTACCAACGGTCTTTAAAGGTACATTACAGCTGTAAACTTTATTTTTTTTGAAACATTTTCCTTCCAAAGGGCATTGTGAAGGTTGTTAGCAGTTGTATTGTTGGTTGGTTGAGGTGTTAGTACCAGATAAAATTTTTTTTATTGTGGCCAGTGATAATATTTTTGATGTTAGGAAAACAGCTGTAGCTTACTTTTAAGTTGTTTTTGTTAAAGATTTTATAAAATTTATGCAATTTCGGAAAGTGTTTTTTTACTAAATTTTTTACAACATTTGTTCTTATGTTAAGTGCAAAAGGAGATTAAACCATATATATATAAGGAGGAGGGTTAAAAAAACCATATGATGTTACAAGATCTTGATTTTGATTTTTTTGCAGATATGGTTTATAATAGATTGTATCTTAATAACCATTAGACGCCAAGGCATTATTTTAAAAAAATACAACAAACTTCAATTTAACAATTTACACTTTAGACCGTTTAAACTCTGCAGAAAACTATGCAATCTTTATAATGTTCCAGCAACTTCCTTGCATATTTTCTCTAAATCAGTTGATATAGGTTGCCTGATTTCCCTGCAGCTCCCTATTTTAGTATGGCATCGGATCTTAGTGTGCTCTTTTAGTTGTATATATATATATATATATATATATATATATATATATATATATATATATATATATATATATATATATATATATATATATATATACATGGCTTAATTTAACAGTTGGACATCAGACATTGTACGGCTAAAACCTCAGATTGTCTGATCAATTTACAAAGTCATCGGACATTTTGTCTGGCAAGATTTTTAATTCTTTAAAATAAAATTTTATTCAATGATTTGAAATTGACAAGTTTAAACTTAATGTAAACTATTAGACAAACTTATAAAATATGTTGATAATGGAGGCATTTATTCCCAAAAAAAGGGCTGTTATTAATTTTAGTTTTAATGACTGTTCTTTAACAGTTTTATTGTTATATTATTAAATTTAAAATTATTGTTTATTTAAAACGATCGCAAAAGTCAAAGTATGTTCGATTGATTACTGCAAACGCCGTGGACACCGAAAAGCAAAGAAAAGCTAGTAGTTTGAAAAATTTGATAATAAAAGATTTTACAAATGTGTTTTTTTAGAGGCTGAGATCTCATCGATGGAATATTTTTAAAAAAACATTAAGAAAATATACATTTAAATATTAACGTTGTAATCATCCAAATCATTCTATTTTAGCTTGAGCGGTTTCTCGGTGGCATCCTGGTCCTACTCAAGTTTTCTGATTCTTTATTAAAAAGTTCTAGCTTTATAAAACTTATCTGCCAAAGAAGAAGTGCCTTTTTGAAAAGTAGATAAATAATAACCTGTAGAACTCATAAAATTTTCTTCATTGAATTGATCAAATTTTAATGACATGCAACGTGTGGAATTTTTAAATTAAATAATAGCCTGTAAATATTATATTGCGCTTGATTTAACTGCCTTTAAATAAGTTAAAGCGAAGTTTAAATTTTTTATATCAAGTTTAAAAATAATATGTTTATCTTAATATTTAATATATTAAAGACATTATTATACTATATTACTATAACAAACTTGTTTTCTTGCCGTTTTTATTATTGATAAAAATAGTTACATGAACGCCATATAAATACCTTTTTGAGGCTAAAAGTGGAGTTTATGCGCAAAATTGACACTTAGCATATTATATTTTTTTAAGTAAAAAAATTTACATAACTTTTATAAACCGGTAATACAATTCATTGTAAACTAACAAGGTTTTCGAGAGAAAAAAACTCAATAAAACTTCAAGCCTATCTAAAAAAATGCGCAGTATTGAATTTAAACTATTTCATTTAAAATACAAAGATCTGCAATGATAAAAATTCTAAATATTAAAAAAAAAAACTACAACTTCACTAGCCTAAAATAAAACAAACTGGGAAAACATAACATTTATTTCGATTGGATAATTGGGTTCCGTAAAACTCAGATATGCCAGATATCTTTTTCCTGTATTCCTTTTAACTAAACAAATACAAAAATGTAAATATTGGTGAAAATTATTTGTTTAAATTTTATTTCAAAAATTTGATCGGACAATGTCCGACCAAAATAACTTTTGGTCAGACATTTTGTCCGGGACCTTATATAAAATTAAATTAAGCCCTGTATATATGTGTATATATATATATATATATATATATATATATATATATATATATATATATATATATATATAATTTATATAACTAATTTAAGTTTTTGTTTTTGCTTTCCTAATGTTTTCATTATTTTCTTATTAGATTTTTTGCGAGTCATTTTTAATTGGTTATTATTGTTTGATAGAGATTAATTTGTTATAATTTGGAAATCAAGCTAGTAAATTAATTATTGATTTAAAATTTTATTACCATTTCAAATTAGTTTAGCTTTTCTCTAAATGTGTTTTTAAACTATGCTTTCAATTATTAGCCTCCATATAGCAACATCATTGTCATATAGCAACACCATTGTCATATAGCAACAGCATCGTCATATAGCAAGATCATTAGTCGTCTGTAAATAAAGCTTCAAACATGTTGCAACAAATACTGAAAGATATGTATATTGATCCAGAACTTCTTGAAGAGTTGTCAGAGGAACAAAAACAGATTTTGTTTCATAAAATGAGGGAGGAGCAAATACGCAGATATAAGGAGCTAGAAATTAAATTAGAGGAGGAGGAAAAAACCAAACCTTTGCAAAAAAAAAGTAAGTCTGTTTAATAAAGTTTAAAAAAGATGTTCATAATATTTGTGTTTCTACTTTTAAATTAAAATAAAAAATAAGTTTTCTATTGAAAATTAAAATCTAAATAACTAAGGATTACTTATAAAACTATTTTATTTGCACTTTTAGAAAGCAACAAAAAAGTTACTTTTCTATGTGAAGGTGATAAGATTATTGTAGAGTATATCCAAGATGTTGATCCTATAGGTATCTTTTTTAATAGTTGGTTTCTTAAGATTTTTAAATTTCTGTCTTACTTGTTGCAAGCAAACACTTTCTTTATTTAGAAGGTTCATTCAAGTTTTGACTTTGATCGAAATAAATTCAAATGAAAGTTCATTTGAATTTTTTTTATAGTTTACTTTATCGAGTTAAAAAATCTTTGTGATCATAATCATTATGTTTTTGTTAGAAATTTTGTTAGAAATCTAGTTAAGTGATAATAATTATTTTATTAATTTAAATTGAATTCTAAAAAACTGGAAATTGATTAATTGATTTTTATAAGTTTGTTTTGCAAAGATGTTTCCAAATCAGAAAAATAATGAAAAAAATTGCTAAATTTTTAATAAATGTCTCAATCAAACAAATGTACAAGAAACTATAAAAATTAAGAATTTAAAATTTACTAATTTTCAGCCTTATTATGTTATGGTTGATTTAGTGTTTTAGCGAAATTGTTTATTTTGTTTATACAAAAAATGTTCTGTATTTTAAAAGTTTGAAGCAAAAAAGCTTTCTTTCAAGAATGCTTGAGTTCATTTGCTTCAGATAATTTACTTGAAAATCTGGCATGAAGCCTATCAACACAATGCTCAATGCCTAGGTGTGCTTTCAAAAAGTTTTAAATATTGTGCCAGATAAGTTCCAGCAATCACTCCCAGCAAGGCTGCAAACAACTAATGCACTCCCAACAAGGCTGCTAGTGACTACTATTAAGCTGTTAAAAAAAAAAACAAAGAATAGTGTTAAAGAACAAGAAAATGGTTGATAAAAGATTTGTAAAGTTTAAGGTTGTATGAATCAAAAAAAAACTTGAAGATTGTAGAGAGTTTCAAAACATTAAAATGTGGAGCAAAAAACTAGATCTATAAAAGTTTTTAGAGCATGAAGCGACTTATACAGTAAAAAGATGCAATTTTGCTAAATGGTGGGTCAAGCGAGAATGAGTTTTGGTTGATGGAACTAGAAATGGTAGCTTGATTTAGCAGCAACCATGATAGTACTTATAAAAACAAAAATGAGATAGGTAGATAGAAATGATTTGATAATCTCAAAAATTTTCCTAAACACACCTAGAGCAAGTTTATAAAGGTTCCATTCCAAACTTTATTGAAAGCTTATTATATGTCTAGAGCATTAGCTTTTGCCGCCAACTTGATTTTAGCAAAATTTTTTTTTTTGGCGCTGCCAACTTGATGGTACTTTATTAATTTTTTTTTAGAAATTTTAAATTTTTTTTTTGAAATAATCTATTTTTACAATATGTCCTCAAATATAGGTTTTTCTATTCTAAACGTGCATGTTCTCAAACTTTTGATAACTTTGTTGTTAGAAATCTTGACAATTATATAAAGTAACTCATTAGAACCTAAAGCAGATTTTAGAGTTTTAGGGAGACCTTTATTGTAAATGTTTTGCTTTGTGCAACAGTGAACAAGAAACTTGTAATTATTTTTCTTTGATTAGGCTGCATTAACATATACCTGGTTTTGATGTAAAATCTCTAAACTTGGTTTTGTAAACGATGCTATATCAAGTCTGTTAAAAATACTCAGAATAAGATGCGATTCCATTAATCACAGAAAACTCTTTCATTCTTCCTCTGGTAGATTTTTTGATGTAACAAACCAAAGTTGATGTTTTTATATCACAGTGTTGCTCATGATTCATAAAATCAATGATACAATACTTTCTAATACACAATTAATTTGTCTCATATCTAAAACAAACCCAGTAACTCAAAGCAAATTATAATTAATGAGGTGAGATTTAGCTATTTGTTGTTTATCTTCATATCTTAACAAACTAAAATCAAGATCATTTATTGCAGAACAGTTATTTATGTTACAACTTATCTCAGTATGACCTTGTATATATATAATGAATGCATCACATACAAATTCTTTATTATAGACTATGCATCTATGGTTTATAGAGAAAGCTTTCAGTGTTCAATATATTCAATTAAAAAGTTGTGTAAAAATTCATTGATGGAGTTAGGCTTCTTGGTGTCGCAATATAATCCAAGCACAAAAGGTTTTAGATAGTTGAAGCAACAAAAATATGGCCATAATTTTAAAATTGGAGGCTTAACTAAAGGAAACCCATATGTATTTAGACTTAGTTTGATTTAAACAAAGGAATTGACTTAAAGGCTTAAACTAAGGCCCATCTATGTTTACTTAGATTTTTTGAGTAATTTCTCTTTGTGTTAATTTTGGTGTTTTTAATAATGTTCATAAATCATTCGTAAGTTCTGGATTCCTATTATTGTGAAGAATTGCAAGAATGATTTAAATAACACTGTGTACACATGCTTGAAGTATTCCAAACAGCAAAATCAGTCTGTAGGCTTACTTTATCATTATGATCTACATTTAGTTTAACAGTGATAATAGAATCTCTTTTTTTTAAAATTTATAGAGCAAAATAACGATTAACAGATGACAGAAAGATTGCAAATTATATGAATCAGGAAAACAAGATGAAGGAAGCGAATTCCAAAGGACTGATATTCAAGGAAAAAAGCTTGACAAATAAAGATTCTTAAAGACCTCAGGAACAGTCACGGTAAAAGGATGAGATTTAATTGAATGATGAGTAACATGAAAATGAATTTTAGTAGATGGCAGAAGATATGCTTGCTCATTAGAGCAGCGCCCATTATAGTATTTATAGAAAAGAGGAAGAGAAGCAACATTATGACAATTTGGTTAAACGTTGGCTGTAAGAAAAGGCCCGACTATGTTTACAATGCGTTTTTTCAACTTAAAAGAGATATATAAGAGAGATATAATATAAAAGAGGTATAGATATATAAAATAACTTAAAAGAGAAAGGGCATCATTGGAAAATTTGTATTCCATACGAGGATGGATTTGAGATTTATAGAGATAAAGTATAGAATCCTGAGTAAGAAAGTGGACTCAAATGGTGTGCAATTAAGTGCTATAGCTGACCAGCAAATCTTTTTCTTTTTTTTTTGACAATTTGACCACGACTGTTTAGATGTTTTAGAAATGATTTTAGAAATGCCCTGAAAAAAGAGACACTGAGCTAAGTTTAAACTAGGAAAAAAAATTTAAAAAAATACTAAGAAAAAAGAAAACAATTCCTTACAAAAAAGAAAACATTTAAGCGCTAAAATAAAGCTCAAAAGAAGCTAAAATTACTTTTTTGTTACATTTTTAAGTGTGTTTAAAACGAATTACTTTAAAACTTTTGAAACATATTAAAATTACTCTTTTACTAATTTAATTATTGTTTAATAAATGAACAAATTTTATTTAAATTAATTAAGAGTGTTATATATATTATTTTTAAATTGTATAAACATTTTTTCCAAAAGGTTGCAAAAAAAAAAAATTGTTTAAATAAGTAACGTAGTCTTTTTAGTATTTTTTAATCATTTCATGATCAAAAAATACTAAATTAAATTTTCAGTAATTTTCATTTCATGCTCTGATTAGTAAGTCAAGTTGAAAAAAAAAAGGTTTTAAACAATTCTTTGTAAAACTATAAACAAAAAAATAAAGCAAATAAATCATTCCATTACATCGGGTAGATTTAATTTAACTTATTCATAATTTAAAGTAACTTAAAAAAATAATAATCTTTTAAAAGATTTCTATAAAGTCATGGAAATGTAGTTTTAAACGTTTAAATTTATCATAAAAAATAAATGCCTACATAAAAAAAATTTTACATTTTTTATTAATTTACACAAAATGTTTTTATTTTAAACAATCATTTTACAGCCGTTTTTTATAACACCTTAAACTCAAAAAATTCAAAATTGACTTTTTTATGAAATAAGCTAATATAGATGATAACAAACGTTATTGAATAATTATTTTTTTAAAATTATGGCAAAATTGATTAATATTACTAGTTTCAAAAAACAACTTAAAAATAATATCTGCTTTTAATTTTTTAAATTTTTTTCAAAACGCCTTACACATTGAATTCGAAAAAATGACATGTTTTGAAATTCTTATTAGTTAATTATAGTTTTATTATAACAATCATAGTTATTGTTATATTAAATTATAACAATAATCATTATATTATAACAATAATCCCCCCCCCCCCATTTTTTGACCTTCCTACGGCACTGACTAATATTATGAAACAGTTATATTTGTTGCATCTTTTTAAAATTAAAAATTTTTTAATGTAAAACAAAATGTATTTAGAAGATGAAATAAGTAATAATACAAAAAGGAAAAAAAAAATAACTATGAAATTTCCATGCGCGCAAGACGTTTATAAAATATATTATTTTGAAGTTGAAGAATTGTTAAATGTTAAAACTCTTATTCTCTGGCCAACAAATTTTTCCTTTCTTTGTTGAAATTTATCTTCTTTGTTGAGATAAGAAACTCTTTGAAACAAGCTTCTATTAAAGAAGCAATGTTTTGTCAGCGTTAAAGGTAAAAGTGTTAAAACAAATTTCGATTTGGATTGATTCTGGCTTTTAAATCTCTCATAGTATATGGTAAAGTTGACACTTTTTCTTTCTGCTTTTTGAATAAAACTGATGCTTCAATCATGGGGCTATCATAGTTACAACAGTAAAACATGCTATAAGAACCACGTTTGAACTCGTTTGGGCGTGGAGAAAATTTATTCAACATATATTGAATGATTTTTTCCTTTAGCACAAAAATGTTTGTGGCCTTAAAAGAATAAATGCTCACTTAGTTACAGCTACAATTGTTATAAATTTTATAGAATTAAAATCAAACTTACCTGCAAAATTTCAACTTTTGTATTTCCTTTCACTGCTTCCACTCTTTGAATAAAAGCATTGAAATTGTACACGTGGTTTTGTTTCAGTTGCTTCTCTGTTGATGAAATGAGTCACAACTCATAAATGTGTAACTCTAATTTTTGTTTTAAGCGGAGCAATTGTCATATCAAATAGTGATTTTAGATTTATCCCGATATTCTTGCAAAAACAAATAATATGTAGAAATTAGCTC